GTGAGAATAATCCCCTCTGACAGGTAGATCCACCTGGCAAAGCATTTCTTTTATCAGCAAAGGTTTCACATCGGTTTCTTACATATCGACAGTCAATTATGAGAAAATATGAGTTTATCAATTAGGAGTTTGTCTTCGTTATTTCCTGAACAATAAATGCAGCCACCATTAAACTATTTGGGACTGTGTGTATTCCCAGTTTCATGCAGTTTCCAATAAAGTGTAAATAATTGCTGCCCTCCTCAGGAGGCGTAGTCACCACGAAGAAGTGAGTTGAAAAGGTCAGACGTGTTCTGCATGCCAGCTCTAAAGTGGTGTATTAACAGCCCAACGACATATTCAGGAGATCATCTGAGACATAACTACCTGGATAAGTTACAGATGAATACTGTATTTGAGGTAGAAGGCAAGGCTGCTTGGATATTGGCTTTGTCTCCATTAACCTGGAGCACGGTGTTAAAGGATCTGTTTGTGGAGAGAAAATGACAGGTAGTCGGGCTGACGGGGCTGGACTGAGACAGTTAAAGGCCCCTTGCTGCATACGATAATTAATAAATAAAATACCAGGGGAGCCCCTGCCATGCCTTCGTCTATGACAGGGGCTGTCTCCAGTGCGCTAAAGCATTAAATGACCAATTTCTGTCAGACTAACTTCCACCACGCTCTCTCTCCCTTGCCTTTCTTTCTTTCTTTCTCCTTCTCTTTTGCTTGCCCTCTCATCTCCACTACACTCTCACCCTTCTTTCCCTCATTCCCTCCCTTGCTTCCTCGTTTTCTGAAGTGGGGCTACTTTGCTCTCTTTGCACTGAGTTTTTCAGCGACTGATGGCTCTAGTTCATTTCTGCTGAATTAATTGGTCCCTGAATGAATTCTGTTGACAGGGCAATTCATCATGTGTTTGGCCTGACAGTGACTGGGTGTTGGTAGTGGAGGGGGTGGCTGTGTGGACTCTGTGTGTGTGTGCATGTTGGGGGTAGGGGTTGAAGCAGCATGTGGAGCCAGTCAGAGGTGGTGGGGGTTGGCGATTGTGGCCTCACACTTTTCTTTCTCCCCTCTTTGCCTCATCTCTTCTTCTTCCTAGATGTCCTACTGGAGCTGCAGACGTCTAGGTGCCCTTGTTGCACCATTTTATCAAAACAGTTGGGCTCCTGTCACGCTGAAGACCCTCTCTCTGCTTGAAAGGGGCACACAGATCAGTGCTACCCCATTTTACCCATTTTGACCTTTTGTTACGACCCTGCACACTTCCTCCCCAGCATCAAATCCCTTCCCACCACTTCATGTGAAGAACACCACTCCTCACCCCACTGCTCCTGATCCCTTTTGGAGAGTGACATAATCAGGTAGTGAGGCATATTTAGTGCTTAATTACACAATGTGTCACACAATGGCCATTCAAAATGATAATTTAACTCCTGAAGGGAAATTGCTCGGCACTGCTGACTGATCTAACAGGGGTGGGACTGGTATAATAGCATATAGTTGGCAGATGAGGCCTGGGTTGAGAAATGCAGCAATTGCATTTCTCCAGACAGCTCTCTGACTGTTCATTATTCTAATTGTGAACTGTGCTGCAGTACAGGATGCACACCAAGCGTGAGCATCCTCTGAGCTTGAACATAGAGAAAAGCTCTTTAGGCTGTGTTGAATCAATCAATGCTCACTCATTACAAACATCACAGACTCGTGTTCTTGTCGTCTGGATGCTCTCACCCGCCGACAGTGAAAATAACCTCATAATCATCATTCTGTCAGGATCATCAGAGACTGGGCTTGAACTCACTGCCTCACTGGAATAATTTTACTATGAGGTGGTGATTTATTTTCACAGGAACACTTTCACAAACCTTTATTTTAATCTTCAAAGCCTTTCATCCTTGGATTACAATGATAAACAGGCTGTTGCTTCTTCAGGGACACTTTAAGGCTTTTATATCTATTTAAATTACACATATTCACTTCAAAATGTAAACAACATAATAAATAACCCTTTCCATCTAGCAAAACATAAACATATGCATTATACACTGAAACAATCCACTACTGCTTCTTCCCTACCCAGATTCATCTGGGATTAACAGAGTTAACGAAGGCAGCTTTGTGAACAATACTGCACCCATGCAGCCACTAATTAAAGCCGCTTCTAATGAGGGCTCACTGATTGACACGGCAAGGTTGGCCTCTCCCCTCGCCAGCATCAACTATGACAGCCACATGATGAGGCTGATGACAGGCTTTCATAAAGGCAGATGACAGGATGTCACTGCTAGACCACCACCACTGCTTGTTTGAACAATACCGCACTCATATGACACCTTGAGATGCCAAGTCTTGGATCATGAATGTTTACACCCAAGGTGATGGTTAGATATTGAATTGTAGGTGCTTAAACTATAGTAATATAGACAGAATAAAGATGGTTGGAAAGAAGACACACACAGTTCTGCTACACATACTGTATTTGTCTTTTAATTTTCATTTTTTCTATAATCCTTGTTTTTTTAGATAGATAGATAGATAGATAGATTAACACAACAACCCACAAATCAAAATGATCAGAAATAAAACTGAAAATAGTGATGTCTAAATCATCTGTGTCTTGTGTTACACTGAAAACAATACAGCAGCACATTTTTTGATGTGATACGCCATCACTTTTATTCTTTGTTCACAATAAACCCTCACTTCAATTCTGATGGGACCGTAAAGAATTTACCACGGTGTGATGTTGCCGTTCCTTTTCACAGCACTTAAAAGATGTTTATAGACTGAGGACACCAAGTGATTTTGAATGTGTCAGGTGTCATTTTGTCCCATTCTTCCTAAAAACAAGTCTTAAGTTTTGTATTGTCTTGTTGAAATATGCATGGGCATTCCT